AAGGACCAAAGCCCCTCTGGTCTTACCAGTCAGAGCATGACCAACCAAAAGTAAGGCCAACAAGGCCAACCAGAAGCAAAGGTTAACCAGAGGCCTTCTGGTCTTACCAACTAGAGCCTCACCAAAACCCTTTTATAAAACTCATATTTGTAAATATAATATGTTGACAAAATAATCCTCTTTTGCCACATCAAACCATAAAATACCAATTTATCGCGTAACACATGAACTCGATGCTTAAGATTAAACAAAGCAAAATTTTCTCATAACACCTTTGGGTGAGATAACCCCATTTCCTCACAACATGCTAGTGCGGGAACCCATCTCATCGCAACATACTGGTGCGATCACAACACACTTCATTGCATCAAAGCCTAGTGGCAAGACCAACCAGAGCCCTTTTGGTCAACCAGAGCCTCTAGGTCAAGAAAATGTTTAATACTTAAAGATTTGGGTTTCAAATACATCCAGAGACCCTCTGGTTAAACATTAAGATCAACCAGATCCCCTTTAGTTCCTTAACCATAGATTTGAATATTTTCCCAAGGTTCAAATGAACAACCAGAAGCAAAGCCATCCAGAATCCAGACCAACCAGAGGCCCTCTGGTCAACCAAAGCCCCTCAACTAGAGGATAACCCAAATCCTCGCATCACACAAATGCGATAACTTAAGGTCATCGCATCACAAGGATGCGATAAATATGAATGTGATCAAAAACCCAGATTTCACAACTCATTGCATCCATCTCAAATTCATCACATTATACACACCACTTAGAAGCAAGGCCGTCGTAGTAGAAGGCCACCCAGAATCAAGATCTTCCCATTAAAAGGAGATCTCAATCGCAAAGCCATCCTAGAAGCAAGACCTTCCCAGTAAAAGGCCATCTCAATCGCAAAGCCATCCTAGAAGCAAGACCTTCCCAATAAAAGGCCATCTCATTTACAAAGTCATCCCAGAAGCAAGACCTTCCCAGTAAAAGGTCATCTCAATCGTAAGGCCATCCTAGTAGAAGGACACCAGAAACAAGACCTTCCCAGTAAAAGGTCATCTTAGAAGCAGGATATTTCCAGTAAAAGGTCATCTCAATCGTAAGGCCATCCTAGTAGAAGATCACCTAGAAGCAAGACCTTCCTAGTAAAAGGTCATCTTAGAAGCAAGACCTTCCCAATAAAAGGCCAGCCTTATCCCAATATGCTCATCTTCTTGATATGCCATCCTTATTTCCTCACATGATATAATCATGATAAAAATCCACCCTTTTGACAATGATGGCATCAAACTGATTTATCTCAAAATCTCATATAAAGAACCATGCAGTTCTTATACCCAGTTTCCAAATAATGAAAACTTTACACAAACACTCAACATCATACTAAAAATAGTACATAATCGTTCAAAAACACCCAAGTAAGGAACCATACAGTTCCTTATTAAAACCATATCAAATGAAGCTTTTAAAGTAAAACTTACAATTATAAACCACAAAAATGAAGATGAACAACAACACGTATTCAGATTAAAATCACAGAATCAACTTCTACTTCTCCCCCTTTTTGGTTTTGGTATCTCTCAAACTTTAGAATACAAAAGTTTTTCTTTATTTTTCCCAAAATCAATAAGATAAGAGAAACATCTTATTACTCATTTTAAATAGTAAGAGGCGGTGGCAGGATTGATATTTTAAAATATTTTCTTCTCACACCCTCCAATGAGATAATAAAAATATCTCATATAAATAAACAATAAGAGGCGGTGGGATTTATAAACATTTAAGCATATAAACAAATTGAACCCCACAACTAACCACCATTATTTGAAATTAACCCTCAACTTCATAACCGAAAAACCTGGTTATCACATAATCAAATTTCCTTTTTTTTAAATGGCCTCATATAATTAAATATCAACTTAAATTAAATTGAAAATTTTTAAGCATCTAGTTAACATTAATTGCAAGGTAATTTTGACATAAAAATGTATAAATTTGGTACTTATCATATGTCATGATGTACATTATTATGACTAAAACCTTTATTAACTATATTCTCATTCATATGAGGATTTGATGATTTAGGTCAACTTTTAGAGGGGTTTTGTGGAAAACTTAGAAAATCACTGACGGATGCCGAGTCCATCAAATAATAAGTTCCAGCTATTGGCCGACTACAACCAAAATTGTAATAGCGGTAAGTTGGGTCGAATCCACATGAACTCGGTTTTAACTTATTATTGCCAAAGAGTTCAAGTACAAGAACAGTTAATTAAAATAAATATGAAGGGGGGTGTTGGATTTGATTAACTAGACTAAACATGCGATTAAAAACTAATTGAAAACGAAGAATTTAAAGCCCAACATTAGTTTGCTTACAATTAAGATGTCCGTACCTATCATTGATTCAAAAAACGTAAGCATGAAGAACAAACCCAAGTTGATTATAGTTGTTATCAAGCTCTAACGACCTCTATTTTTCCTTAAATTTACATCAGTTGAAATAAGCTCTTTAACCGGATCTTAATTACAAATGGGAATTCGAATAAGCTCTCAAATTACCAGGTGTATTTAGCTTTATCGGACTAGAAAAATACCAACTCAAAACCATAAGCTCGTAAGCTTGGATTATCAGGGCTTTGACTGCAAGATTTCAAGACTTCAATTCAGAAACCTTATCGAGACTAAATGAAATCAACTGTTACATTATCAAAGTTCCAAGACATTTACGTATCTAAGCCATTGAATAACAGTTTTACATAAGAACTCCGATTAATTGATCAAACTAATTGAACATTCAAATGAAGTTAACATTGAAAACAAAAATCAAGCAATTAAGCTTGTCCCAAACGATTACAATGGAATCTCAAAGAACAAACCATCGAAATCTAAGTAAACTAACATTGGAATGAAAAGATTTAGATACACAGCTAAAATAGGACTTATAACCTAAGAGAAATTACCAAAATGGAGTAGAAATTGATGTTTGATGCCTCCAATCGCTCCCTTCGATCCTCGCAGTCGTCAATTTCTCTGCTCCTTTTTTTCCTAAAAGAAACCCTAAAACTTTTAAAAATCGACTCCCCCACTAAATAACACGTCCTTTGAAAATGTAGGCTTCTGAAATTATTCATTTGAAAACTATGCTTGGTCCTTTCTCTTTTGAATAAATATGCCCAATCATCATTTGCGAAAATATGCTTGCTTTCTTGAGAATTTGGGAAAGTATGCTCCATCTTGCAGTCATTTGAGAAACTATGTTCAACAGTGAGTTGGGCGACTTTTTGCGCGACTTAAGTCGTCCAATTTCTTCAACTTTAAGCCTCGTTCATTTCTATTCAACAATAAACAGAATAAGAGACTCAAACAAATATATTTTAGGTATAAAACGACATAAAAATGGGGATTTTAAGTCTATTAACATATATTAAAACTTGAAAATTCATAGTTATCAATCACCCAACATGGGGATAATGACTTTAGCGGGTCTATTTCTCTAGTGCCCTAAAATAGAGCACACTACGTTTTTGTCCCTATGGTTTGTTAAAGATTGTGGTTTTCGTCCCTGTGGTTTCATAATTTATGTTTTCATTCCTATGGTTTGCGATTCATTTACATTTTCGTCCCTGAGTCCACAACACTACTTTTGAGTATGAAGGACTAAAATAGAAATAAATTATAAACCATAGGGACAGAAAAAGCAATAAAATTTAAATCATAAAGACAAAAGATAATGAATTATAAACCATATGAATGAAAACTGAAATTTTATAAACACAGGGACAAAAATAGAAATTTCAACAAACCATGAGGACTAAAAACATAATTTACTCCCTATTATGTTTCTTTTCATTAGGACAATTCATATCAATTTATTGAATTGTTTGAATTTTTATGTAAGAGATTTATAGATGCCTATTGTGGCAATTCCACCCAAAAGGTAATGGGTTACTCCTACAACACGTCCTTGTACAATGCTTAAGGCTCTCGGCTGGGTACACACACACACACACACACACACACATATATATATATATATATATATATATATATATATATATATATATATATACACTTGGGATCATATGAGACCAAAGGTTTTTCGTGAGACCCGTAAGACCAATTCTCAATCCTTGGATTAGATCTACAATCTGACAATCTGAACATTAATAAACGCCACGAGACTTCTCAATAATCACAAAATTGTCACCATGCAACTTTAGTCTATTAGATCATTAGCTTATAAAGTCGATCAATGAACGTAAATTGGTCTTACGGGTCTCACGAAAAACACTGGGTCTCATGTGAACCTAACCCTATATATATATATATATATATAGAGAGAGAGAGAGAGAGAGAGAGAGAGAGAGTTTATGTTTGTGGGTTAGCTCCTGAAATTTTGAAATGCTCTTTGAATCACTTTATTGAATGGTTGAATCGTGCAATATTGGTATTCAATAGTTTTTCGAAATAAAGTATTTTGGGTTGATTTAGATCAATTATTGTATCATACAACAACATATGTTGTAGTTTGAGCTATTTTTAAATATATTTTGATCGGAACCTTCAAATCGTAATTAACAGTGTTTGTGTGCACCTCAACCAACCTATAAGACTCTGAAGTTAAAAGCCAGGAAAACTTTCGGTACCCGTCAAGAATTCAAACTAGTGATCAATAGGGAGCAAACATGTACCCAGAAACAAATATAAATCCTTTTGATTTGCCTTATTATCAAAGCTTATTCTTGTATAGTTTCCAAAATACAACCAATGCTTCAATGGAAACATCTCCATGCTTTTGGAAGATGCGTACGAGCTTGCTCTAGGTCTAAGCCAGCCACAATGGTCCTATAGTGGGTTAACCACGCCCCTACGCAGGTCCATGTCAATTGAACCACGACAACTCACGAAATGACACCACTTTGTACCCCAAAGGTCGAATATGGCTGTGGTTTGCTACAAATATCCATCTTACCATACAACTTATACCCACAACATAGCAAACTGAGAAATATAAAACTGAATTCATCATGGTTTGCTACAAATGTCCATATTGCATACTGAATTCATCATGTCTATGAATTTAGAAATATACAGGTACAATACACCAACCCCGAAAATATGTACATATATATCATACTGATTACAAGATCACATACGACTGGAGGCCAAGCCTCGTGCACCAAGGCATTCAGATGATTGCACACATGCTCTTTCGATGTCTAGAATATACACCGTGTGATTCTACAGGAGATATTCATATGTGAATCTGTATGTCATTCACCAAAAAAGATGGGTAGTATACCAACAACAGGAGATATGATGAGACTCCAAATGCAGCCTAGCAACACGAAAAGCAGCTATGTACCTTCAACCTTGGCTGGAGTTCTGAGATGCATTACTGTTAAAAAGCACACCCCTTGGCCATAGCCATGGAACAATAATAACCAAGACAAAAAGCAACCCGACTGTAAACATCACCATACTAGTCCAAACAAAGATCGTTGCTTTCCATGACCACAAAATCCTTTTGAAAAGAGGAAGTTTTGACTCGAGTTTAAGATACGACGTGTATATTTCAGGAACACCACCACGGCTGGCAAATTGAGCCCGTGGTTCCATTACTACCCTCAAGCAGGAAGTTGGAACTTTTGTTTCAGTATGTCCGCTAAATTTGATTTTGATGGTTTGGGATTCTGATGAATAGCCGGTGATTAGTGGGGCGAGCTTAAAAACAGTCGATAAAAGCCGGAGAGACTTGCTTTTGAACGGAAGCATACATGGCTGGATTGTACTTAGAAGGGGTTTGCCATTGCTGGAAAGGAAGTCCACCCTCACCTTCAAGGAAAAAGATCAATTTACAATGATCATCCAAGATTTCTTTTAAGGACTTGACCACTAAAGACTGTTATATTGAATTACTCAAATTAGAAACCACAAGCACCTACAGATTACTCCAAATGTCAAAAAAGAGTGTCCATAATCCTACTTTAGTTTGTCCCAAAATAAGTTTCAACTTTCAAAGTAAATGCATGGCGTCCGATTCTACCCTTAATTATGAGATGGAGAAATTCACTAATACCTTTATTATTAAGGGTAAAATTGTCATTTAGTTAATTAAACATGTAATAATTATAAAATGGTGTGTAACAAGTATAGGGTCTATTCTAAAAGGGTTTGTAAAAATGGTTACCTTTAAACCGTTTGCAAAATAGGGTCTTTAGACCTCATTTGACAAAAAATAAAGCAAACAACTGAAAATGAAGGTTTTAGGTGATGGATTTCTAAGATAATTGTATGCTTTTGAATGGAGGATATTTCTTTAAGAACTTGACCACTAAACACTATTGTACTCAATTATTCAAATCAGAAACCACAAGCAACTGCTGACTACTTGCAGAATCATTTGCAAAATAGGGTCTTTTTCAAAAAGAAAAAAGCTTTGTAAAACTGATCATCTTTTAAACCCATTGCAAAATGGGAACTTTTGACCTCATTTGACAGATGACAAAGCAAACAACTGAAATGAAGGTTTAAGGTGATTGGTTTATAAGATAATTGTACACTTTTGTATGAAGAGTACTTCAAGACAAAATGGTGTAATTCAAGTTTATGCTACCTGCAAACAATTTTTCTGTAAAGAATTTGAGTAAAAGTATTCAACTTTTGCAATAATGTTGCTTTCAGATTGGTTATTAAATACCTGAAAGATCCCAAGATTTCTGTTGTAATCCGATTCTGGCAAAGTTAATGATACCGTGGCCTGCAATTTGTGATCAAGAGGTATAACCCGCGATTGAGCAGCATTCCCAAATCTAATCTTTTCATTGCAATCCAAACAAAGGGGTTCTGGGCAAGACATTATAGGCACAAAAGCCATTGGAGTATCTCTTGTATAATCAAAGCTCAATTGCTCTATCTTCTGTATGGGCTGCTCCAAAATGTATTTCATTAAAGCCCCACTGATTACAAACCCCATAACTAATAAACCAACCAAAATGATTCCAACGAAAGCCGAAGACAGCAATCCCCATCCTATTTGCATACAAAACTTCCATGTGGACCTGTTTCTTTTGATCCATATGTTTAGAACCCATTTGAGATTACCATAACAGAACTTCAAGAATCTTGAAATGCGTTTCTTAATGTAACTTCTTCCACGCCTTATAATCGAAAAAGGATCGATAAGAAACATGTAAGACGAATACATTAACCATAAAGGAAATGATATCAAGCCAACTAACAAACTTGTTTGAAATGCAATAGTTTTAATCACTAATCCAGCTAAGATAAAAAGGAAACTCGAACCAGGGTTTGATGAATCCACTGTAACAGAATCATCAATGGCTCCCTCATCACCATTAACAGTGGTAATCACACTAGAACTCAAAGAACTCCCATTTGTTTCATTGGCTAATCGCTTACCATCGCTGCCAGACCCCACACGAACCTTTGTCCGATTCAGCTTATCGTTCAACTTATCATTATTCTTCAAATTCCAAAGAAATTTATAGTTTTTTCCTAGAGAAACAGTAGATCCATGAAGATTAAAATCCACTAACCCATCAGAACTTTTTTTGAAAGTAGACCAGGGAAGTTCTTTGGAAGTCTGTCGGGAAAAAAGGCGACGGCGCCGGAGACCAGCAGAGGAAGGGGATGATGGTTGTTCTGAAATCGTATGGTCATCGATTTGAGAGACAGACGAAGCCGAAGAAGAGTTGGAAGCATCGAAGAGAGGGAATTCTTCAAGGGCATCGCTGAATTTGGCGTCGTCGTCTTCGATGAGGTTTGATCTCTCAGACCCTTGTAGCAGTTCCATCGAAAGAAGAATTACCTAGAGTGAATGAGGGGAGGGGGGCGGGGGTTGAGGAAGAGAGAGGTTTTCTTGGACAAGATGAAGATGATATATCTTTGATGTCTGTTTTTTCTCGGAAAGAAAACGAAAATCATGTTTTATTTTTCGTGGAAGACGGCGGCGCCTTGTTTCTATCATATGTTTTATTAATACATAAAAGAAAAAGAAAAAGTAAAAGTAAAAGTAAATAAAGGTTTTTGATGATCATTAAGGAATTTATCATAGATATAAAAAGTTTTCGGGGTGTTTGGCTTACTTGATGGAATAGGAATCCATCAAAAAAATTTGACTTTAAAGGAATTATAATGGAATTTGATGAAATTTGATTACGCATTTGATTGGTAGGAATTGGAATGAAATCTCTCAAAAGAATTGAAACAATCGTCTTTATTTGGACTATTGCACCCATCGCCCGACTCATGCCCTACCAACCACCATGGTGGTGGGATAATGATCGGGTGGCTGGGCCCTAGGAGTGGGTGGGTATGACGAGAACAATAGTGACATGGTGTCTAGTGGTGGGTTGGGGTATGGTAGGGTGCAGGTGAGTGGCGGTTGTGAAGATGACAATAATGGTGTGGGGTGGGGGTTTAAGTTAGGGGGTGAGATGAGTGGAGGGGTTATAGTTGTTATGACGAACAATAGTAGCATGGTCGTGGTGAGTGGTGATGGAATTCGATTCTTTCTATTATGTCAATCAATGATGAATTCATTAATTTGTGGAATTCAATAGAATTTGAAAGATTTCATCTATTTCAAGAAACTCACGGACACACACTACATATCCCCATGGATGTAGCCAAAACGCACACGTTTCAATTATATGGTTTTATCGGTGAGGGAACGGGGGAATGCATTGTAATGTTAGGCATGGGAATGGAAGTGGTTGCTTGTGTTGACTCTTCGAACGCCGAGAAAACCCACTTGTTGAAGGAGTTGCCACCGATGGACAGTGCTATGGTGCTGGAGTTGCAATGGTAGTCCTCTACGTGAGTTTGGCTGTGATAGGGATTATTAGAGAATAGAGATGATAGGGGGAAGGAAGAAAGGCCAGGGGTTTTGGGTTTTAATTTAGATTTTTTTCCTTATATTCGATCCCTCTGGTTTACAATATGTAAGGCTTCGGGTTCTTGCTACTAACTGTGTTTTATAACTTCAGTTAACTCAGGGTAGTTTTGCCTTTTTACTAATAATTCATTTCTTAATAAAGAAAACCTATACATATGGCTGAGTTCAAATGAGTCACCAACACTTATATCACATTTAATACACATACGATACCAATCACGGTGTAGGAGACCTTTTGAGCGATAGGTTTGCATTGCGTTTTATGTGCATTTTAGCGTGCATTCATGCATTTTAAGCCTCTTTTTGCTTGTTTCTCTTTTTATTATATTGGGTTAACTACGGTTTGTTTTGGAGTGATTTCATACAGCTTTGGCAAGGTTGTGCAAATTTCAGGTGGAGATTCAGTAAGCGAAAGTCGACAAGAACTAATAAGTTACAAATACCCTAAGCAACTTATGTACCAAAATGTTTGAAAATCATCAATACTAACTCAAATGTCGGGCAAAATCCCAAAACAAATATTTATCTCAAATCCTAGCCAATAAGCTCGTACACTTGTTTGATTAATCCAAACCGAGTCACTATAAACTTTAAAATGCATTTAAAGAGTTTAATATAGATATGATGACCCAAAATATCACAAAATCTAGCAAACTAGATCATGCATATTATTTGAATGATTTATATAATCAATATACCATAATGCATTAACATAAAATAATCTCATATGAGGAATAAATCATCAAAATCCACACAATTTATAATTTTTAACAAAATATCCAAAACCCCAAATATGTATACTTTGTATTATTTTATAAAACCAAATATGCAAAAGATGCAATTTTATCAAGTTACCAACAACATTTGATAAATCTTTAGGAAAACACTTTAAGACTCCAAAATATACATATGTACAAAGTTTTCATAATGCAATTTGAAACTCACATTGCTATGTCAGGTTAAACCTAGGTTCCAAACCCATACCCTAGCTTCCATGGGTAAAGATTTGAGATCCCCAAGCTAGACTTCCAAATCTATGATGCAAATCTTTCAAGAACTCCTCCCATTCTCCCAAATCTTAATAAAATATACCTCAAAAAAAAAAAAATGAGGGTTGAGAGTGAAAAGGGGACCAAACCCTAGCTCAAAGATGAAGATATAAATATTACCTTTCAACTTCTAGGAACATCAAATAACCAAGAATATTTAATCATCTTAAATACCCCCTTGAACATGTTCAAAAAATGAGTCCATATATTTAAGAATCGCTCAAATCGGATAAGAAAAGAAGTTATGGTCAAATGAAGAAAAACACCAAAAATCAACCTTTTCTTTTTGAAGTATGTAATATTTATATACGACAAATAAAACAAATACACTCACACACCCTCCTCACCTTTGGTGAGGTTTGAACCCCTGACCTCCTGTGAGGCCAAAGACTACGATACTGGTAGGCCAAAGGCCCTTTGGTAAAATTGGCCTTTTTATGCATCTAGATGAGTCCCATGACCTTGACCGCGACCTAAGTCGTGGGGAAGGTCACCCAATAACTTTTGGGCATCAAACTAAAGGTCACGTGACCATGTTGTAACTTAGGTCGCGGGCTAGGTCACCTAGACCATGTTCCACGTAGTCGTGCCACATTCCCACGTCATGCCGCACCGCATTCCCATGCTATGTCTCGTCGCATGTCGGTTGTTTCTTGACCATTCTTTAATTGTTTCTTGGCTGTTCCTCAACCGTTTTACCGATTGTTTTCCCGGCCATTCTCGACCGTTTTTTACTCTTTTCAGTAACAATATCAGTTTTCAAATCAGATAATTTCTTTGTAATTTCAGAAATTTTACCTTCAAAATCTATTCTTTCTTCTTCAAAACTTTTTCTCTCCTTTTCAAAAACTTTCCTTTCTATCTCAAAAATTCCTTTCTCATTCTAAGATACAACATCTAACTATTTCTTCTTTTCAGTTAACTCCTTAGCTATAGCTGCATTCTTCTTTGCTACACTCGTTGTTTCAATAGCAAATGTTTTTTCTTTCATTTCCAAACACTTCTGATTAACAACTATACTTTTTGAAAGTTCCAAATATTTCTTATCAGATCCTTTCTTCTCAGTCTCAAACTTAGCTCTTTCCAAAATAATTACCTTTTCAAATTCACATATTTGTTCTGAAAGCTTTGTATTATTCATCTCAAGTGCCTTAATCTTGCTTTCAAAAATCTTTCTTTCAGCATCAAACTTCTTTTCAACATCAGAAAATCTATTCTTCTCTTTTTCAAACTCTTTCCTTTCAGACTCTAACAAATTTTCCATTTCAACTATCCTCTCCTTTTGTTTCTCAAAAATTCTACTTTCAGAAGTCAAAGTTTTTTCATATTCATAAACCTTTGTAGTTAATTTAGAGTTATTCTTTAATAGTTCAACATTTCTTTCCTGATAATCATAAAAACCTCTACAAAGAAGTTCATCAATTTGTTCTTGTAAGAACTTTCTTTTTCTTCTAAAACTTGATCATTTTCTTTTACCGTATTTTTGGCCCAACAAAGATTTGAATGGTTCTCATAAAACGTTTTAGCATATTTTTCTTGATCCTTTTTAAATTTCTTTTCCAAATCAGAAACTCCCTCTTTAAGTTCCTTGTTCTCTCTTTCTAACATGAATGCCATTACAAACAATTCAAAAGATTAATTCTTGATCTTTAAAACAACTCAAAACCTAAAAAAATTGGATACTCAAATGTTAACTCCCAACAAGATTCCTTATCGGACAATATTCCTTATTGGACAACAAACTTAACTTTCAAATCCTGTTAGCGCACACCACATGCTTATTGAACAATACTATATCTTTTAACCTTGCTTATTGACCAAACCCTTTTATCGGACAACACTCACTTATCGCCCAAAGGTTATCGAACACAAAAAGGCTTATCGCTCAAGTCTTGAACGATGAAAACACATCACCGAGTAACACTTTGACCGAGGAAGAGATGCTTATCGGACAAGCAAGAAATTCAAAGGAAAAAAATCAACAACCAATGAAACAAACCATATCGCTCAATGAGTATGTTCAACAAGCGATGAAGGAAACAATTTACCAAAAATCCAGAAATCGACCCAAAGTCACTAAAAATCAAACAAACTTCAACACAAATAACATTTATTGATTCGAAAAGTGACCAAAAACAAAATTTTGATGCTAATTCGTAACAAAAACAGATCAAACAAGTCTAACTTGGATTAACAATCAAGAACAGTTCAAGAATACGAATCATAGAAAAAAAAATCTAAAATTGACACTTTGAATCAATTCAATTATGAAATTGATTGATTCTACCCAATTTAGATTATGATTTCGAATAGAATTCAATCAATTACAATCACAAATTTACACAGATTATGAATTTTTGAATCAAAACAATAGCAAGAATGGTGTTCGACAAAAATGGAAAGTCCAGTCCAATTCGATCCAAAACAGTCCAATCCAATTCAATCTGATTCTCTAAATTGTTGTTTACTGATCTGATACCAATTGATAATCCCAAAAATGATTAATCAATAACAACAATTCAAGATTTAGCAATTATAGAGAGTAGAAAAGTAGAGAGAATATCTTCAAACCCCAAACCGTATTGATCTTTCAAATGCTTACAATTACACTGTACGATTATAATGCTTTACAACTTACTCTAAACACAAAAGCTAGCAACCTATTTATACAAGGAATACACAAGAAGCATGAAGCTTTGATACAACATTTAAGACCAAAATCTTGAACCTAACAATAACCAACCCTTGTGTTGTTCGATAAAGCCTTGTCCGAAAACTAAACTGTGTTATTCGAGAACCTCTATTTATTGTTCGATAACCATAATTTGTTGTCCGATATCTTTGGTGAGTAAGAGATACGCTATCTTTTCAAGTTTGATTGAAGTGAGCGATAAGAAGT